GCACAGAGCCCTGTCCCTCACCTCCTGGGGTGCACAGAGCCCTGTCCCTCACCTCCGTGGCCAGTTTCTTCATGTAGGGGTCCAGCTCATGCAGGAGGCTGTAGCCCTGCTGGAAGAAGGTGAACTGGGCGTGCATGAAGGACAACATCTGGGGAGAGAAATAACAGCTGCATCAGGGCCAGAGGGAAAAGCCCTCAGCCCTTTCTTCCCACCAGAAAAAAATGGGTCTAACCCTTTCTTTTTTACTTCCCAAAGCAATTTTTCCCTCTTCTCCTTCCTTCCGCTTTGCTGTGGGCACGAAGAGTGAAAAGCCCTCAGCCCTTTTTCCCCACCAGAAAAAAATGGGTTTAACTCTTTCTCTTTTACTTTCCCAAACTCATCCCCTTCTCCTTCCTCCCACTTTGCCGTGGGCACAAAGGCAAAGCAGCATCCCAAAAATCCCCCCAAAAAAGCTGGATTTGCTCCCTGAGGAGCACCCAGGGCTCCTCTCCTGCAGCCACTCAGGGCTCTTACCGCGTCCAGGATCTCAAATTTCTTCTTGGCCTGCAGCACGTTGATCTGTGGGGAAATGGAGACACCCCTCTGAGCACCAGCAGCAAATCCAGCCCAGGAACCTCCCAAATCCACTGGGAAACCCCCAGAAATCCAGCACAAACTAGTCCTGAATTATTCCAGTAGGGAATTGCCTGTGAGGTTGGTTTTGGTGATAAAAGCTGGAATAAATGCACAACAGGTGGGTTTTCTCACCTGGACTGGTTAAAATCACTGCTGGAGAAATGCTTCTTTATTTCCCTTACTGAGATCAAATAATCTCAAATATCAAATAATAGTTAATACCATAATTTAATCTAATAATCTAATAACATATTATTTCATATAATAATATATATAATATAAATTGTTGTAATAATTTAATAAAATACTATTTTATATAATAAAGTAGATATTATATAATTTAATATAAAAATTCAATAGCATGTTATTTATATAATAATTAATATTTATATTTCTATACATATATAAATATTTAATATTTTAATTAATAAAGAAGAACAATTTAATAACATGCTATTGATAAAAATTTATATAATGGAATTTAATCTAAAAATGTAATAGCATATTATTTTATATTTAAATATTTAAATAATATGTTATATGTAATAACATATTTTATATTTAGAAATATATATAATTTAATACATATTAATATATATCAATATTAATAAATACATACTATATATTGTATTGTATATATTATACATATTATATATATTAATATATATTAATAATTTATCTATAATATATTTAGATATTTTTATATAACGTATGAAAATAATATATATTATGTAATATCATTATATAATATATATTTATTATATATAATATTATATATAATATAATAATATATCATATAATAGTATAGTAATATATTATAATATAATTATAGAATATATAATTATTATACAATTAATATAATTATATATAATTATATATTAATATGACGTAATATAATATAATATAATATAATATAATATAATATAATATTGAAATTTAATATAATAATGTAATAACATAATACATTATTTTACATAATAATTTATTATTAAATCCAAAGTATTCATGTCTCCCTTCTCTGCAGGCTGATCCCTGGCTGAGATCCAAACATTCTGTGACTCTGTGGTTTTTAGGGACAGAAGGCATCCCAGTTCTCCCACCTGCAGCACATAGTCCAGGGCCAGGTGCCGGAAGCATTTCCTGGTGATGGTCAGCGTGCCCGTAGCCTCCTCCACCTCGTGGGGCTTGTGCCGCGGCGCCTGCGCGTTCTTCACCAGCGAGATCTCCATGTCCTCCCGCACCTTGTCAAACTGCTTCTTGGTCTCCTTGAACTTCCTCACGTCACTGGGCACCACAAACGGGGAGAAAGGGGCAGAAATCTGCGTTAGGAAGGTGGGAAACAAGAGTGGAGAGGGGCCAGTGGGGCTGTGGCCAGGCCAAGATCCTGCTCCAGGTGCCAGCAGGATCCCAGCGTGTCCATTCCAGCTTCAGTCAAGTCTTTCTTTACAGAGTTAGTAGGGAAAGGCACTACTATTATTATTATTATTATTATTATTATTATTATTATTATTATTATTACTATTACTATTACTATTGCTATTATTACTATTATTACTATTATTACTATTATTACTATTATTACTATTATTACTATTATTACTATTATTACTGTTGCTATTATTGCTATTATTATTACTATTACTACTACTACTATTATTATTTTATTTTTTGTTTTATTTTAATTATTTTTGGTT